TTGATTATGAAGGATCTTACATACTAACTGAAGAGTTTGGATTTAATTCTAGAACATTAGGGACCTAACAGATTTTAAGCATAATCAGTTCTGTCTTTTATGAAGATACCTCTGTCAGCAATTTGTATAAGACTATTTCTAGTTTAATGTAGTTACATTAAATCATAATTGTTTTAGTGATTATTATAACCAAATATCACCTGTTTAAAATGAGGAGAACAATTTTTAAAAATGTTTTATTTATTTATTTGAGAGAGAGAGAGAATGAGTGGTGGGGGGAGGCAGGGGTGGGGGCAGAGGGAGAGAAGCAGACTCTGCTGACTGAGGAGCCTGTTGCAGGGCTTTATCTCACGACCCTGAGATCATGACCTGAACCAAAATCAGGAGTTGGAAGCTTAACAGCTGAGCCACCCAGGTGCCCCAAAGAGAACAATTTTTTAAAGACCCATGTCTAATTATTGTACCTGGTTAAGGACGTCCCTTAAAAGACATTGACCATAATGACCATACTTGACTGATCAAAATTTGTCTAGCTGTTGACAAACTTAGAATACCTACACGTAAATAATCAGGTCTCTGTATGTAATCTGTGACAATATAATGCTAGGCTGTACTATTTCTCATTGTAACATTTGCTTTATCCCTATTTTTCCTACATTATTTATGAAGAATTCCTAGCTTTATACACAGATACTGCTGAGACTGATCTCAACAAATAGCATTTTTTTAAAAAAGATTTTATTTATTTATTTGTCAGAGAGAGAGAACACAAGCAGGGGGAGTGGCAGGCAGAGGGAGAAGCAGGCTCCCTATGGAGCAGGGAGCCCGATGCAGGACTCTATTCCAGGACCCTGGATCATGACCTGAGCCAAAGGCAGATGGTTAACCAACTGAGCCACCCAGGTGTCCCTCAACAAATAGCATTTTTACAAAGATTTATTTATGTATACTTCTTTTTATTTATTTATTTATTTAAATTCAATTAATGAACATATAATGTATTATTAGTTTCAGAGGTAGAGATCAGTGATTCATCAGTCTTATATAATACCCAGTGCTCATTATATCACGTGTCCTCCTTAGTGTTCATCACCCGGTTACCCCATCCTTCCACACCCCCTCCCCTTCAGCAACCCTCAGTTTCAACAAATAGCTTTTTAAAAGCTGCAAATACTGTTTTATAAAATTTTTCTTTGTTTTGACAAGGGCAGTTTAGTTAGAATTCTTGCTAGTACACCTTTATATTGTTTAAAAATTTCCTGATTAATAATCTGAAATAGTTACTCTCAAAATAGGAAATCATAATTGGTCTATACTAATGCCACTGTCATGAAATAATTCCTAATAAGTAGTCTGGTGTTATTTTAAGAAAAAATTATGTAGTAAAAACTCAGGGATATTTAAGATATGATTCATTTCCCTCTAATTTGTACCATTATTGTTTTGACATGGAATTCAGCTTAGTTAGTAGGGGTGGGGTATGAAGAGGGAGACCTAGGGGAGGTTAGATTTGTTTGTTTTTTTGTCTTTTTCTATAAGGAGAACTTTAGATTTCAGTCATCAAATTATTTACTAATGGCACTAAAAAATTTACACATGTTCAGGCCTTTAACTACTTTTCAGTTGTAAAGGATATCTAAGAAGAGCAAAAAGTTTTGTTTTAACATCTTTTTTTTTCACGAGGTATACCTTTTTTTTTTTTAAGATTTTATTTATTTATTTGACAGAGAGAGACAGACACAGCGATGGAGGGAACACAAACAGGGGGAGTGGGAGAGGGAGAAGCAGGCTTCCCACCAAGCAGAGAGCCCAATGTGGGGCTTGATCCCAGGACCCTGGGATCATGACTTGAGCTGAAGGCAGATGCTTAACGACTGAGCCACCCAGGCGCCCTATAACTTTTCTTTTTCTAAAGTAAATAAAGCCGTTTTGGGGCGCCTGGGTGGCTCAGTCGCCCTATACCTTTTCTTTTTCTTTTTAAAGTAAATAAGGCAGTTTTGGGGCACCTGGGTGGCTTAGTCGTTAAGTGTCTGTCTGCCTTCAGCTCAGGTCATGGTCCCAGGGTCCTGGGATTGAGCCCCACATCGGGCTCTCTGCTCGGTGGGAAGCCTGCTTCTCCCTCTCCCACTTCCCCTGCTTGTGTTCCCTCTCTCACTGTGTCTCTCTCTGTTAAATAAATAAAATCTTTAAGGAAAAAAAATAAGGCAGTTTTATTTATGATTTCTTTACTTGCAGGTACAGTTAAATCTCTATTCATTAACTCAATATTCAATACAAAATTCTAGTAAAAATAATAGGAGAGGAGGGGAAAAATGATATCTTGGTTATGAAAAACTAGTTACTGAGTTCATAAATTCTGACCTTTTTAACGGTCAAGACAAAAATGGAAATAGAGTGGATTGTGTAACTTCAATATGTGGTAGTAGGTAAGGAGCACTTAACCCAAGTCAAAAAAAAAAAAAAAAAGGACGGTGATGGCCCTGGCTGACTCAGTTGGAAGAACATGTGACTTTTGATCTTGGGGTTTTGAGTTTGAGTCCCACATTGGGTGTAGAGATTACTAAAAAAAATAATAAATTTAAGAAACTGGGATGGGACAGGAAAAAGAAATTATGCCTTATAGATATGCTTTTTTATATCTATTACAGATTTTTTATTTGTAGTTTGAATCATTTAAGTATGAATCTTTTTGTTGTATCTGCTTTGTATGTAGAAATATATTTGATTTTAATCTTTATGATCACTTGGTAAAGTTTGCAAATTAGGATGATCTAAGGAAATTGGGATATTAAATGTGTAAGATAATCTAGTAAATATAATTAAACTTGTTATTAAATGAATTTGAATAGGTGGCTACATGTTGCAGAAATACAGTTGAATCAAAATTACGCTGATGTCCTAGAATTAGTTTTTATAAATAGGCTGTACTATGTTGTTTGGCTATTTAGTTTTTTGTGTTTTTTTTAAGATTTTATTTATTTGACAGAGAGAGAGAGAGAGGGAGAGCAGGAACACAAGCAGGGGGAGTGGGAGAAGAAGAGGGCTTCCCGCTGAGCAGGGAGCCTGATGCGGGGCTCGATCCCAGGTCCCCGGAATCATGACCTGAGCCGAAGGCAGATGCTTAACGACTGAGCCACCCAGGTGCCCATATTTAGTTGATATTAGTAGTATCTTATACAAGACTGCCTGAAATGGTTTTAAATATAGAAATCAAGTTACATTTATTTTTGAGTAATTACTCTTTGTGAGTACTGAATTTAATAATTACTGTCTGTCTCCAAATAGACCATGTAAGATGCTTGAAGGATAGAACTCTATATTACCTACTTGTGAATACCCTACTTGCCTAGCCCAATACTTTGAAGGTGCTTTCTCTTGTAATAAATACAGCAGGTCTATGTGTCTAAATGGACTTGGGCAGGGGCGCCTGGGTGGCTCAGTCGTTAAGCGTCTGCCTTCGGCTCAGGTCATGATCCCAGGGTCCTGGGATCGAGCCCCACATCGGGCTCCCTGCTCATGGGAAGCCTGCTCCTCCCTCTCCCATTCACCCTGCTTGTGTTCCTTCTTTCGCTGTGTCTCTGTCAAATAAATAAATAAAATCTTTAAAAAATAAATAAATAAATAAATGGACTTGGGCATATAGTTCTTGGCTCTTTCATTTCTTCCTCAGAGTTTGGTCCTTAGTTCTATAGGTTCAGAAACATTATTTTCATAGGTCATTTCCAGTGCTAAGGTGCTAGTGAATTAAGCCATACTAGATAGGATACACACCCAAAATGAATAAATAAATCAAAAGCCCAAGAGGAATAAATATATTGGCCATATATAAATGCATATTTAATGTATTAGATTGTTACTCTAGCTAGTCAAACCTTAGGAAAGTCAACTTTAAGAAACCAAATAAAGATCAGTTGTTGCTTTTGATAACCTTTTACTTCTTTGATAGTCTCAGCAATGTTGATAAATATTTGTTAGCTGATAAATTATGTGGCAAATATTCTATTGAAATGAGCTAAAACAGATTATGTATATGGAAAAAGATTAACTAGAATTGAAAGTACATTAGGTTGTCCCTTCAGCATACAGTGTGATTGAGCATTCTGTTTCTGGCTTTTATATTGATATATTTTTTTTAAAGATTTTATTTATTTATTTGAGAGAGAGCATGAGAGGGAGGAGGGTCAGAGAGAGAGGCAGACCCCCTGCCGAGCAGGGAGCCCGATGCGGGACTCGATCCCGGGACTCCAGGATCATGACCTGAGCCGAAGGCAGTCGCTTAACCAACTGAGCCACCCAGGCGCCCTTATATTGATATTTTTAATAACAGAAAGTCATTTTCTTTTTGTCCACTAATATCTTAGTTTTTAAAACAAATTTACTAAGGTATACTTTATATACCATGAAATTCACTCATTTTCAGTGACTGATTATTTTTTTATAAATTTACAGAGCTGTGCAGCCACTACCACAGTCTAATTTTAGAACATTTCCATCTGCCCAAGAAGAAACCATGTACCCACTGTACAATGTAGTCATTCTCCTCATCCTTAGTTTACCATGCCCAATGATGTATGTTTAGCTTTCTACAACTGACTATAAAATATGATAAAAGTGAATACTGCAGTATTTCCCAAAATTATTCAACCCTCTAGGTTTGTTAATTTGTTTTGAAGTTTTGATAATTTAAAGCCTGGACTTTTAAAATGATGTTTCTTTATTCAGATACCTAAATTATTTAATAGGAGAGTAGTGAGAATAATTTGTCTAAGAAGGGATTGCTTTTGGGAAGTCAGTTTTCAAGTTTGCTTCTTATTTGGAGGTGACAAATTAATGAACAGAAAGAAATTATTGAATAAATATAAATTACAAATGTATTCAGGTCTTGTTAGGGATTTAGTAGAAAAATTTAGAGTGCCTTTCAAAAAGACTAAGATTTTATATAATAATGTTTTACTAAGATTTTCTTAAAATTAAATTTGTCATTCTCTTACTTGTTTCAGCTTCTCAGAACCAAGAACGTCTATGTGCATTTAAAGATCCGTATCAACAAGACCTTGGGATAGGCGAGAGTCGAATCTCTCATGAAAATGGAACAATATTATGCTCAAAAGGTAGCACTTGCTATGGCCTTTGGGAGAAATCAAAAGGGGATATAAATCTCGTAAAACAAGGCAAGTAACACTTTTCTTACCTGAAATAACTTTGTGTTTCATATAATTGAAGTTTATCTAAATAGGACCTGAAGGTAGATTAAAACCTTCTCCAGGAAAACAGTAAGTTTTGAAATATATATCCTGTATATATTCACCCATAAGCCCCAAATTTATAAAGGGTAATAGGTTTTTAGCTTATTTTAATAACATTTTTCTTACTACAATGTTAATAATATATCCTCGTTCTTACAAAGTTTAGAAAATATAGAGAACTATGAAAAAAACAGTTGTCTACAACTTCATACTCTTACAAACTCTTTTATATATTAGTTTATTCCCTGCAAGTATATTTTTTATGGACCTCTATGTATATATGTGTGTGTACTTATTTTACAAAATTAGGATGATACTGTATGTATAAACAATTTCATACCCAATATTTCCTATCTTAAATTATATTATGAACATTTTCCCATGTCTTTAAATATACTTTGAAAACGTTTTTCACCTCTGTACAATATTGCATTGTATACACGCAATTTACTTACACATCACTCTGTTGTAGGACATTATATTGTGTTCTGGTTTCACTATAATACATAATGCTTCAGTGGACATCTTTGAACATATATCTTTTTTTTTTTTTTTTTTTTTACTTTTCTGAATATACTTTTTTATTGTGTAACTTTCAGGTGTATAATGTTATAATTCAACATCTGTGTGCACTATAAAGTGATTATCCCCAAAACTCTTAGTTACTATCCATCACCCTACACTCTTTCACCTCTTTTGCATATATCCCCCAACTTTCTTCCCCTGATCTGGTCTATCTATGAGTTTGTTTTGTTTTGTTTGTTCATTAGGGTTTTTGTTTTGTTTTTTTATTATGTAAATCACCATACATTACATCATTAGTTTTTGATGTAGTGTTCCATGATTCATTGTCTGCGTGTAACACCCAGTGCTCCATTCAGTATGTGCCCTCTTTAATACCCATCACCAGGCTAACCCATCCTCCCGCCCCCCTCCCCTCTAGAGTTTGTTTCTCAGAGTCCATAGTCTCTCATGGTTCATCTCCCCCTCCAATTTCCCCCCCCTTCATTTTTCCCTTCCTACTATCTTCTTTTTTTTTAACATATAATGTATTATTTGTTTCAGAGGTACAGGTCTGTGATTCAACAGCCTTACACAGTTCACAGCGCTCACCATAGCACATACCCTCCCCAATGTCTATCACCCAGCCACCCATCCCTCCCACCCCCAACCATTCCAGCAACCCTCAGTTTGTTTCCTGAGATTAAGAATTTCTCATATCAGTGAGATCATATGATACATGTCTTTCTCTGATTGACTTACTTCACTCAGCATAAATCTTTGATTGTATCTGATTATTTCTTTGGAATAGATTGCTGAAAGAACTATTAGATTATAAAGCATGAATATTTTAAAGGCTCTTTTGAAAATTGCCATATGGCTTTCTAGAAATGCCATATACATTTACATTCCCCCAGCAGTATATGGGAGTTACTGAAATCTTGTTATGATTGTATATTATCTTTTTAAACCTAGAACAATTTAATAGATATAGACAAAAATGAAATCTTACTGTTGCTTTAATAATAATTCTTAGATTAATGAAGAGGTTAAACATTTATTGGTGGCTTTTCTCCCTGTTAAATGCTTGTTAATACTCTGCCATTTTTTTGTTATTTAAAAAATGTGTGTCTCCTATTCATTTGCAGGAGTGGTTTATAACTCATATGTATTATGTACTTACTCTGTCACATTGATTGTAGTTATTTCTTAGTTTGTTGTTTCTCTTTTAATTTAATTTATTGTATTAACCCTAACTTGTTTACATTAATATGTAGGATGTTGGTCTCACATTGGAGATCCCCAGGAGTGTCACTATGAAGAATGTGTAGTAACTACTACCCCTCCCTCAATTCAGAATGGAACATACCGTTTCTGCTGCTGTAGCACAGACTTGTGTAATGTCAACTTTACTGAGAATTTTCCACCTCCAGACACAACACCACTCAGTAAGTAGTTTAAGTAATTTACTTTTTCTTGTTAATTCTTTCCTCCAAAGATTTGCAAAATTTAAAAAATATAATAACATGACGTTTGGCAGAGTGAAAGGGAGAGTTCAAACATCATGAGACTACATCTAGCTAACACCTGAAATTCAAAAGAGGTGCACCAGGATTTCCAGGGTATCACTAGAGTACCAAATAAGTTTGAATCAAATTATGGTACTTTCCAACCCCTGTGAAGCTATACTTCCAACAGTACAAATATACATACGCATAGGGGTGCCTGGCTGGTTCATTGTTGATAAGAGCATGCAACTCTTGATCACAGGGTCATGAGTTCAAGCCACACTTTGGGCATAGAGCTTACTTAAAAAAATACATATGGAGGCACCTGGCTGGCTCAGTCAATTAAGCATCCAACTTGATTTTGTCTCTGGTCATGATCCTCAGGGTCATGAGATCAAGTCCTGCATCAGGCTCCACACTAAGTGTGGAGTCTGCTTGAGATTCTCTCTCTCCCTCTCCCTTGCCCCTCCCCCTGCTCACTCTCTCTCAAATCAGTAAATCAATCAATCAATCAATCAATAAAATCTAAAAAAAACATATGCATAGAGTTATCCACTGCAGTATTATTTGTAACTGCAAAACATTGGAAACTATCGGGGCGCCTGGGTGGCTCAGACGGTTAAGCGTCTGCCTTGGGCTCAGGTCATGATCCCAGGGTCCTGGGATCGAGCCCCACATTGGGCTCCCTGCTCGGTGGGAGGCCTGCTTCTCCCCCTCCCTCTGCTTCTCCCCCTGCTCATATTCTTTCTCTCTCTCTCTCTGTATCTCTGTGTCTCAAATGAATAAATAAACCTTTAAAAAAAAAATTGGAAACTATCTAAATGTTCAGGAATAGGAGATTAGTTAAAATATACTATGGTGTATACATGTAATGGAGTACTAACTATACATCTATAAGAAAAAAGAGTAAGATCTCTATGAATTGATATGGAGTGATTTCTAGAGATAATGTCAGGAGAATAAAAAACATATATATACTCTGATATCTTTTGTGTAAGACAGAAAGCTTATCTTTACAAAAAGAAACAAAGGATAAACCAGAAAATAATTAAGTTGATTACTTAGAAGGGATGGAGAGAAAGGAGTGGGAAGTATACATAAAGGAATGAAAGAACTAATGTAAGGATTTTATAAACACAGTGTTTTACTATATATACTATTTTGGGCAAGATGGGATGTAAGAGATGGGGGGAGAATTGCATACAAATACTGAACTCTTTTAAGTTTGTTTTTTAGTAACCATGGACAAACCAATTGTGAAACAATTGTAGATGTGTAATAGGATTAAGAAATAAGTAAATGGTGTTAATGCTCTTGGGAGCCAGTGCTCTTACTGAGGAAATAGGCACATACAATTATAGATGGGGGAAGACAAGAGAATCCTGTGTGAATTGATTATAATTCAAGATATGAGTATGGATTTATAACTTTAAAAATATACATATGTATGTGTTACATGCATGGATATGTGGCCATGTACATATGTGTATATATTTGTATGTGTATGTTTTTGTATATATGTATGGAGTGTACATACACATACCTATATATATTTCTTAGCTCTATCTGTTGAAAAGGATAAGAAGCAATAAGTAGCACCCCAGTAGCAGCAAGCAAATGTAATACCCAGATTTAGACTCTAATACCACTCCCCAATGAATGGAAGTTGGGCTCCTTGGAAAAATGACTTACTCTAAGACTGGAGCAGGATAGCTGCAAGATGAGCCGGAAGTATCTTGTAACACTAGAAAGTAAGGAAAAGAAGTGCCCCCAAATGGGGGAAACTTGTCAGAAGGGCATAGGAGCCAGCTTCAAGGAACTCCTACTGTCTAAATTTGGGACAATTTGAGTGCTAAAAAGTACAGTAACAAACTGTAAGCCATTGGAGGGAAAATGAATTCATGAGTCTATGCTGATTGCAGAGAAGGGAGAAGAGAGGGCACTTGCTTACAGTAGAATGCCAGGTGCCAACTGGTAAATGTAGGAGTGCTGGAGTTGGAAAATTATCCTGTAGCCATCATGGTAAGGATTGGATCAGACAAGAATAATCAAAACGTCCTAAATCTAAAGGCATTTTCAATATGGAGCCAGGATATTTGCGTTGAAGTATCTCCCACATGTTGCAAGGGAAAAATTAGTAATTATAAGTTGAGGATATTGGATAACACCTTGACCAAATGATTAAAATTAACATCATTAATGAAGGGCAGATGGACATCCATGATACCCTGAGAAGGACACGGTATCACTAATAGAGTACTGTATGTCAGCCAAGAATGCATACCAGAATCTAATCATGAGGGAACATCACACAAACCATGAACTAGGAATGCTCTGTTATAAGAAGGGGATTTGTCAAAAATGTCAATGTTCTATAAGGCAAAGAGACTGTGGGAAAGATTTAGATAAAGGAAGCTAAAGAAACTTGACAACTAAGCCGTACCTAACTCTCCTAATGCTGGATGCGAAAAATATGATAAAGGACATTATTAGACCAGTTGACAAAAGAGATGATTAAAGAATTATTTCAATATTAAATATACTGAATCTGATAGCAGTACTGTGGTTATGTAAAAGAATATCCATATTCTTAGGAAGTAGTCTAAGAAATGTTTAGAAATAGGGGCAAAAATGCATACATATATATATCAACCTCCATGAACTGGTTCAAAAAAAGTATGTGTGTTTGTGCGCATGCACATGTCTCAGTCAGTTAAGTGTCTGCCTTCAGTTTGGGTCATGATCTCAGGATCCTGGGATTGAGCCCCATGTTGGGCTCCCTGCTCAGTGGGGGGAGTCGGCTTCTCCCTCTCCCTCCCCCTGCTCGTGCTCTCTCTCTCTTTGTCTCTCACTCCCTTTCTTTCTCAAATAAATAAATAAAATCTTAATAAAAAGAGAATGATAAAGCAAGCAAATGGGGTAAAATGGTAACAATAAGTGAATTTGGGTAAAGATGTATGGGTATTCTTTGTACTATTCTCATCTTTTTTTTTTTTAAAGAGTTAGAGCTTTTTAATTTAATTTAAATTTTAATTTTTTTTAAGATTTTATTTATTTATTTGACAGAAATAGAGATAGCGAGAGCAGGAACACAAGCAGTGGGAGTGGGAGAGGGAGAAGCAGGCTTCCCCCCGAGGAGGGAGCCCGATGTGGGACTTGATCCCAGGACTCTGGGATCATGACCTGAGCCGAAGGCAGACGCTTAACGACTGAGCCACCCAGGCGCCCTGTACTATTCTCATTCTTACAACTATTCTGAAAGTTTTAAATTAGTTCCAAATAAAAATTTAAAAATTTAAAAGTATATATTTTTTGAAATATAGCACATTTCAAGAATTCTCTGTCAACAGCTTTTATTAGTTCATACTCTGAGATCTTCAGTTTGGGATTATTTCCTTTGATTTCTTGATGAAACACTAAACTGAAAGCAATGGGAAGTTTTTTCTTATCTACTCAAGGCCATTAGCTTTTATGAAGAAATTATACTGAATTGGCTACATTTATTTTCCACAAAGAAGCAAACAAACAAAATAAGATTTCTAATTTTCACTTGTGCATCTAGCTAGATGAAAGTGAAGTGAATTTGTGCATAAGTTCTCCTCAATATTTTTATTGCTACATTTCAGAATGTTACCTAGATTTTGGTCTGCTATGATCTTTTGAACCAAAAGCTGAAGTATTGCCAATTAGGAATCAAGTAATGTTAGCCCAATAAAAAGGGAAAGTGTTTTAAGTAAAGTGCTGTAATATGGGAGCATTGGCTCAATTTATATATTTTGTTCTAAACAAAGCAAGTAAATTTGAAGTTAGCAAACAAGATGAATATTGGTTTTTGCATTAATCTCAAGAAAAATAGTCATATTGAATGTCAGACATTTAGTCGATAAGTGATAAGATGCTTGATCAAAATAAAAATAGTTTTAAGTGTTACAGTTTAAAGAAATTAATTAAAATTTAACATTAAGGGGGGGCGCCTGGGTGGCTCAGTTGGTTAAGCGACTGCCTTCGGCTCGGATCATGATCCTGGAGTCCCGGGATCGAGTCCCGAATCGGGCTGCCTGCTCGGCAGGGAGTCTGCTTCTCCCTCCGACCCTCCTCCCTTTCATGCTCTCTGTCTCTCATTCTCTCTCTCTCAAATTAAAAAAAAAAAAAAAATTAACATTAAGGGGGTACCTGGTTGGCTCAGTTGGTTAAGCGTCTGACTCTTGATTTCAGCTCAGGTCATGATCCTCAGGGTCATGAGATGGAGCTCCATGTTGGGCTCTGTGCTCAGTGCGGAGTCTGCTTGAGATTCTCCCTCTCCCTCTGCCCCTCCTCCTGCTCTTGCTCTCTCTCTAAAATAAATAAAATCTTTAAAAAAAAATATATATATATATGTAAAATTAAGCAGAACTTTTTGTTCTTGGTTGGATAATAATACAGCAGTAGAAAATCTGGTGATGGTGATTTTTTTTTCTCCTTTAAAATTTTCCATTATAAAAATACCATTTATTGCATATTTAACATAAATATTTGTCAAAGACATTTATATATGTTTAAAATTTACTAGAAATATGGTGCACACTTATCAGAGATGGAGAAGTAGGATAGCGTGGGGTGACTGTTGAGAGGGAAGGTTACGTATTATTCTTATATTCTTGAATTATTTGAATCTTTAACCTGAGAATATATTTGTGTATTACATGTGTATGAAAATATTAAAGGAATACCTGCTTGTTAAATTAGAAAAATAGAAAAATGAGATAAGTGAAAAGGAGATAAATAATCTTCAATAATTTCTATATCCAAATACAACCATTATTAATATTTTGAATGTTTTTTTCCTAGTCTTTTCTCTTTAATTTTTGTATAGTTGTATTAGTGATAAAAATGCATTTAAGGACCACCTGGCTGGCTCAGTTGGTAGATCCTGCGACTCTTGATCTTGCAGGTCCTGAGTTAGAGCCTCATGTTGGGGATAGAGTTTACTTAAAATAAAGGGGAGGGGGAATAAAAATTCATTTTAGATCCTACTTTTTTGTTCAGCAGAATAAGTATTTTCCAGGTTATTGTATATGTTTCATAGTCATCAATTTTAATGGTTGTATAATATTTTATCGATTAGATATTTTCCTTATCCATTCCCTTGGTTTTAGACATTTAGGCTGTTTCTAGTTTTTTATTCCAGTGGGCATCTTTGTATATATAGCATTATATTAAATTATAATTCCCAGAATTATAATTTCTATATCCAGTAGTAACAGTATTAAAATTCCTCATATATTGTCAAATTGCTTTTCCATTGGTGGATACAGTTCATTCTCCCGTTAGTGATATACTGGAGTGCATATTCCATCATGTCTTTATCAACACTAGTATTATTAAAATAAAACTTTGCTGAGATCATTTTGAAAAAAGATTTGGATTGGGTTTTGTTTTTTGTTTTTGGGGGATTTTTTTGAGCAAGAGAGAGAGGGTGAATTCAAGCAGGCAGCAGCCAGAGGGAGAGAGCGAGAATCTTAAGTAGGCTCCACACTCAGCACAGAGCACAACGCGGGGCTCGATCTCACGACCCTGAGATCATGACCTGAGCCAAAATCAAGAGTTGGACGCTTAACTGAGCCACGCAGGTGCCCCTTGGATTATTTTTATTAGTGAGGTTCACATGTTTTTTGTTTTTTATGTTTTGAATTTCCTATGTTCATTGTCTATTTGTAATATTCTTTTCCAATAATGAAGCTAATTAGCTTTGAGAAAAATGATTTAGAATAGTCTGAAATCTAGTCATTTCATCCCTTGTCAATTTGTCTTGATACCATAGGATGACAGGAGCTACATTTTAAATAGTAATTTAACATGCATTTGTAACATTTTTTAAAAAATCTTTGAACCTTGGCTCTTCCTAAGGAAAGACCATTAATATCTTTCATTAAAAGTTCAATGCTCATTTATAGTGCTAAATTATACCTTAATCAAGGTGTTAAAAATAAAATGTTCATTACTCATTCTTCTGAGAACAGTGTTCACTGAAACAGTATCTCCAAACCTCACATGATGTTTTCGTAATGGCTATTAAAGCTTTGCATTTGCATAATGTTTTATAATTTCAAAGTGTGGCACATCTGTAAACTCTTTGAAGTTGTGTCCATAATATTTGGGTAGTTTAGTAAAAAATAAACCCTTTTGTCCTACTGAGTAACTATGCTACTCAGGTTGAATGGTCATTGAAGTGGTTGTCTTTCTCTAACAGATTTAGCTTGCAGCTTATCTTTTTTTTAACTTTTTACCTATTATTGTATCGACAGTCAATGTCAGGTTTTGGCCCCCAACAAAAAAAATGTTTTAAACTTTTATATTTGAAATTATTTCAAACTTACAAAAACTTCCATATACCTTTTATCCACAGATTCACCAATTTTTAACATTTTGCTGTATTTGCCTTATTACTCTCCCTCTCCATATATATACATATGCCGATAACTATTTTTTTCTGAACTTTTGCAAATAAGTTGTAGGCATCATACCTAAATTTTCACGTATTTTGTAATTGTCTCTGTCTCTTCTACTAGATTCTCTTTTAAGATTTTATTTTTCATTTATTTCAGAGAGAGCTTGTGAGAGAGCAGGAGACCAGGGAGGGTTAGAGGGATAAACAGACTCCCCACTGAGCGGGGAGCCCAACATGGGGCTCTATTCCAGGACCCTGGGATTATCACCTGAGCTGAAGGCAGACAGGTAACCAACTGAACCACCCAGGCTCAATCCTACTGGATTTTTTTTTTTTTTAAGATTTTATTTATTTATCTGACAGAGAGATACACTGCGAGAGAGGGAACACAAGCAGGGGGAGTGGGAGTGGGAGAAGCAGGCTTCCTGCGGAGCGGGGAGGCGGACGCGGGGCTCGATCCCATCCTGGGATCATGACCTGAGCCGAAGGCAGACCCTTAATGACTGAGCCACCCAGGCGCCCCTGGATTCTTAAAAAAAAAAAAAAAAATTATTAGAGTATAGTTAACACACAGTGTTATCTTTTAGTTGCACCATATAGTGATTCAATATCTCTTTATATTATGCTGTGTTCACCACAAGTGTAGCTACCATCTGTCACCATACGTTATTACAGTGTCATTGACTATATTCCCTATGCCGTACCTTTTATTCCCATGACTTAATCTTTCCATAACTGGAAACCTGTATCTCTCACTCTCCTTAACCCATTTTGCCCATCTCCCTACCCCCTTTCCTCTGACAACAATCAATTTGTTCTCTGTATTTGTAGGTCTGATTCTTTTGTTTATTTGTTTATTCATTTGTTTTGTTTTTTATTTTCCACGTATGAGCGAAATCATAAAAATGTTAGATGCCCAAAGTAGGTGGCAATGCCTTAACAATATGTGTGTTGCTAGGCCTGAGGGCCTCTTATATCCTTGTTAAGGGTAGTGCTAACCTCTCCTTTCATACAACACTCTTCTACAAGATTCTAAAGTCTTTGGTGATAAGGACCTTTTTTAATGCTCTTTTGTCTCTGCATTGACTACTAGTACAGTGTCAGGTATGTAGTGGTAGGAGTGAAATAAATGTTTGTTGAATGAATAATTTAATAAAAGGATATATGCTAATGTATAAATTCTGAAATGTTTTCAAATACTTGAAGGGAATAGGATTTGTTGTCATTTGTAATCTGGCAAAAGTTGAGATCATTGGATTCACTCAGTAATAGACAGGTATTTATTGAAAGCTGGTTGTTACTTTTAATTAAAGGGACAAATAGTTCATGGGACAGTAAGTACAGACAAAAACAGAACAATTATTAACTCCCTTATTTTAGATTCATTATGGTAAAGTATAAAAAAGCCGTAATTGTTCCCATTCTCCTTTCCACTCCTAAAAAAGAAGCATCAAATTTTAATTTTTGAAATAATGCAGGAATTTAGAAAAGTTTCCCTAAGTAGATGCTGTTACATGATCTAATTTTCAGAGACCCTTACTCAAAAAGTACAATTTAGCATATTTTAATACTGGTAAAGAAAATGATGCACAGGTAGGTTATGGCTTTTTTAAAGGTTATGTTCTAGGGAAACAGCAGAAGGTACTTAATGTTCTCTTTAGCCTATTCATTTCTCTCTCGATTGTTTTCAGCTGAACAGTTTACTTCCTGACATCAAACTATTCATTGCTGTTACTGGAATTATATCTTTCTCATCAAGTATGCTTTTACACAATATCTAGGACCACTTTTACCTGCCTTCTTACCACTATACCTCATACATTGAGTAGGGTTAGACCAGTGACAATGAAGAAATATATGGATGACTGAGAATAACAAAATATAGCTCTCTTTCCTCAGGAAAAGCTTGTTTTTTGTTGTTGTTTTTGTTTTGTTTTGTTTGTAATCAACCTCAGTTGAAGCTGAAGACCATGAGGTAGTTAGTGATAGAAACTAAAGCATATGATAGCAGTGAATCTTTTAAGAATAATGTGGGAGGAGTTGTCAGGGAAAATATGATAGACCAATCCATGACCATAAGTGAATATCTTTCATTTTGCTGAGCCACAGAGTCTTACATTATAATTATTTAAAAATTACTTTGATGTGGAGTTAGGGGAGTGAAGAAGGGTTATTCCATTTACCTCTAGTTCTTAAATTTTTTTTTTACAGATTACAGATTTTGTGTAGTCTTATAAAACTGCCTTACATAGTTTTTTGGAGGCAATGAGATATGACACAAATTAATGAAATCTCTGCAGACTTCTGGCTGTTTTGCTAAAAAATTTAGTTTAATGAGAAGTCCACTGATTTATGTTTTGTTGAAACATAAATGAAATGTCTGTTTTAAAATAAGTATCAGCAGTTTCTTACTAATTTTAGAAAAAGGTATGTGAGCATTGTTAAATGCCATAAAAGTTAAAGTTCTGTTCGGACTACAGATGACCAATGATTTTCTGAGTCCCTTTATTTTTTTCTTAGATTCTCCTTCTGTTGTACCCAGTATGATATGTTAACTTTTATAGGAACTGTCCTTTCTTCCCCCATCAACATATGGTGTCCTTACCTCTATTTCCCTTCAGATATTAGTGCTAGATATTTAATGAGTTTTGCCTCATAAAATACTTATAGTAAATTTAAGATTCTTAGAGAATGTTATTCCAGATGGGATAAATATAGTAATGAAATTTTAATTCATTTCATCAGGATTATAAACTTATTAGACTCAGCAGTCTCCTTACAATAAAAATATAAAGGGAATTTGGGCATTTAACACATAGTGAAATCAAAACTAGCTAAATAACATTTTTTAAAATATTCACGACGTGTCAGACATTGTTCTAATTGCTGTCTATGCATTAAACCTTTACAGTTAACCCTTACAGAAACACATGAAATGATTACTGTTCTATTCTTATTTTACATTGAGAACACTGAGGCACAGATACATAATTTTTTACCAAGTCACACAGCTAATAAGTGGTAGAGTCAAGATTCAAATGTAGGTGTTTGGGCTCCATAGTATGTGTAATTAACTATTACTTTCTATTGGTTTTAACCATTACTCTCTATAATCAGTTGTTATTAATCATTACTCTTATACTCAAACAGGGGGCCAGTTTATATATGCTCATTCATTTGGAAGGAGGAAAGAAAAGATTATTTTGAAAATATTTGATCACATTTCCTAAAATTTAAGGACTCTTCATGATTCTTTCACCATATCTGTTGTACCACTGAGTACCATAAAATGTTTTCTATATTCACATGACATATTACTTATTTAATATTTTTTTCAAATTATCTCATTAAAATTATATGTTCTTTAAAGGGAAACTTTTCATCACTACTGTAAATGGAAAGCCAATGTCATAAGTGGGGGTAACTTTAAAAATTATTTATTTAAAAATAAATAAAATGAAAACTAAGCCATATATATATTAGCTAACTAGATATTGCTGCTTGCCAAATTGTCTGAAACTTGAAGCTTACTTTCTCTGTGTTAAAAGAAAATAACAAATATTGATAATAGAGATTCACTGTCACCAAGTTGAGGTTTTCTTCTTTTGTAATTAGACAAAAGAAAGAAAACTAACTCATTAACACATGTCCATCTACCACCTAAAACCAGAAGTCTGACACTTTAGGAAAGTGAACTATATTATTCTGAGTCTCTTTGAACCATAAGAGACTTTGCAGTACCCATTTGTTTAAAAAGAAAATCAGTCTTTAAGTAAATGAGTTTATACCCTTAATTCATGCTTATGTGTTTATAAATTCCCAGAGTTTGAAAGAGATGTATAATTATTGCAAGGTTTGAATACTTATTTTAGAATAGTTTCTTGTTAAAGTTTCTGGAATTAGTATAATTAACCTTCCTAACTATAAAGTAAACAAAGTGATTAAGTTAGTAGAAAAGCAGACAAAAATTTGTCATTTTCTAAAAAATTAAATAGACCTAAGTCATTGTATTTGGTGTTGGAGGTTCTTGGGTGAAAATCAGCATAAAAATGTAGAATGCTTTTATTTTCTTTAACTTACATCATTCATTAAGTTGATTGTTGGATCAAATTGTTGAGAAACAAAGACTGAATAAAGCTAAGTTTAAGAAATCACATTCTAAAAAAAAAAATCACATTCTAATTTATGCTGTGCTGTTAAGATTAGAAATTCTAACTTCAGTGTCTGGCAGCAAATGTCTTTATCTCACACCAAGCTAGAAAATAGAAAAGAAAGCCTACATTCAAAGAAACTGACATATGGGGGCCACAGATAGGTTTTTAGCTGTTGTGAATTTATAATGGTTTTTCAGTTTTTACTGCTTCTTTGACAGCATTAAAGTGATTGAATAGACACAAAAGGAGAAATAAGGATGGCTGGATGTTTTTGCTTAGTACTTGATGAAGCATTTTAGCAAGAGACAAAGTATGTTGTTTTTTACACTTATTAAAAATATTAGTGGAGAAGGGGTGGTGCAAGAGAAGTAAAGTATGTATCCTTTAGAAAATATTCTTTAATGCAATAGTAACAAGATTTTATTTGCACATGTTCTGTGGTGTTGGTCAGACAGTTTTCATTCTAAAATTTTGCTACCTCTGCCCTATTGAATATCAATCCTAATCTATATCTACATATTTTGTCCCTAGTCTCTCAAAAAAAGTAATCCCTCTTCATGTTGGTATTTTTAAAATTTATATTACTTGATTGTCCTGATGAACAAAGCAAAACCTGTTTACTAACCTGGCTTTACTGACAAACTTAGTGGAAGCTTTTGGTCTGTAAAATGTAAGACCCAAGCATTTATGGTGGAATTGACTGATATTTAAAAATAAATGTCTTCTCAAATACTGGACAATTTTGGATGTAGAAGCAAGAAATAATTTTCATGTTTTTACTTAATATCTATAATTTTTCTTATCTTTATGTCCAGTTCCACGTGTGCTCCTTTGTACCTGCCTTAGCTGTTTCTCATTTCCTGTAGTCTCTCTCTGATTACTGAGAATTTTCTGCATATGTTCATATAGAAAAACTGATTATCCATCTAATATAGATTTAGTGGTTTCAGGGTTCTGGGATCAAGCCCCAAGTCGGGCTCCCTGCTCGGTGGGGAGTCTGCTTCTTCCTCTCCCTCTGCTCCCCCCGCCTCGTCCTCTCTCTCTCATGCTCTCTGTCTCTCTCTCTCAAATAAACAAAATCTTTTTTTAAAAAAAGTAGAGTCATAGGTACATGAAGATACTTCAAGTACATTCAAAACCAAGATGAAACTAGCTGTGATTTGAATAGCAACCGTCTTTATAACAGTATGTTGTTTTTTTTAATTGAGGTATAATTGACCTGTAACATTATATTGCTTTCAGGTGTTCAGTATGATGAGTTGCTATTTGTATGTATTGCAAAATGATCACTACAGTAAGTCTAGTTAAAATCTGTCATAGTGCATAATCACAAAATTTTTTTTTCTTTTTTTAAGATTTTATTTATTTTATTTAATTGACAGGGAGAGAGAGAGAGACAGCGTGAGAGGGAACACAAGCAGGGGGAGTAGGAGAGGAAGAAGCAGGCTTCCGGCTGAGCAGGGAGCCTGATGCGGGGCTCAATCCCAGAACCCTGGGATCATGACCTGAGCTGAAGGCAGTCGCTTAACCAACTGAGCCACCCAGGCGCCCCAAATTTTTTGTTCTTATGATGAGAACTTTCAAGATTTACTCTCAACAGCTTTCGAATATTCAATATAGTATTGTTTTTTTATTTTTTAATTTTTAATTTTTAATTTTATTATGTTATATTAATCACCATACATTACATCATTAGTTTTTGATGTAGTGTTCCATGATTCATTGTTTGCATATAACACCCAGTGCTCCATTCAGTACATACCGTCTTTAATACCCATCACCAAGCTAACCCATCCCCCCACCGCCTCCCGTATAGAACTCTCAGTTTGTCCATATAGTATTGTTAACTGTAGTCACCATGCTGTACATTTTATCCCCATGACTTATTTTATAACTGGAAGTTTGTACCTTTTGACCCCCCCTCACCCCTTTGACCCACCCTTCTCCTCT